ACGAGTGACAAAGCTAAGGAGAAGGAAGGGAAAAAACAAAGCCACTAGGTCCAGGACTCAACCTGCGGTCGGTCATGTGGGAGTCCAGCGCCCCTAACCATCACGCCACCGGATGGCCCCTTAAAGAGATTTTTAATGCATTTTTTATGCATGTTGAGATTATTGGTGATAGATATTTCTCAAAAAACTTTTTTTTTCTCTTTTTGGAGAGGTTTTTGCTATAGAGCACGTGCGCTCGCCAGACAGAGACAGAGACAGAAAGTGTGAAATCACCCCCCAGGGGGGATGGCAATCCCGTCTCCTCCATTCTCCTCTCAGGATCTTGGGCACGCATGCACACATGCCCGGTGTGAGTTTAAGCCACCGGGTCTGGGACGTAAACCGCGGTCGACTACGTGGGAGTCCAGCAACATAGCCATTATGCTAACTGCTGGTCCCTCAAAAAACTTTTTTAAATTTACTTACCTCTTCTTTCTTTTTTTTTTCTCTCTCTGCTATAAGTTCTGCCCTTCTTTTAGCCACCAGATCATCCTGTTAAAGAAAGAGATGTTTCAAGATTTTAATGACAAATGATAAACATTACTTTCTATAAGTTATTTTTTTTTTCCAAAATGGGAATAATATTTGTGTGGAAAGATGGCGGACTTTGCAGGAAAGTACGTGATAGCGGGAATTACGTTGCTTGCATCCTTGTGCTCCTGGGTCTCTTAATCAGCTGTTTCCTCAGTGCATGGAGTCAGTCATTCTTCCCGTACATTTTACACCTCCTTTTTCATAATTTATTATGCATTTGTGTGTTTGGTTTCTGTGAGAGGTGGATTTCTCCATGGAGAAGTAGGAATATATTTGGAGATAATTTGCTGAAAATGTTTGGCAGTCTTTTATCACACTGTTGAAGTAGAATGGTCTGGAAAATCTAGAAATGCAGTTGGAGTCACCATGCTGTGGTTAAGTGCAGTACACAGGAAGCCAGAACCGACATGGCCAAAGTGGAGCCCCAGTCCCACAGCCGAGAAGCACACCAGGCACATGGGCCTGCATGCCCCAAATCCTGACGGGATAGAGAGATGGAGGGAAAAGGATTGATGGAACTATACCCATTTGGGGTGCTTTCTCTCCTTTTCTCTTCTTTCTCCCTCCCTCTGATGATCGCATGTGCCCAACAGCAATTGAAAAAATCCTAAAAATCTGTACATGTGAAAAAAGCATATGTACTTTGGAGACAGGTGTATAGATAATTCTCTAGTTTTTCTTGAATTCTTTTAATCCAATGTAATGTACCCCTTGATATGTCCCCAACGTTTCTGTGAAAACTCATCAGTTCTCCCTAGGTTTTTTTTTTGAATTATTTATTTAATTTTATTTGTCATTGTTATTATTTTAAATTTTGACTAGAGAGAGATTGAGAAAGAGAAATGGAAAGTGAGAAAGCAAGCCACCAGGTCTGGGACTCGAACTGTGGTTCCGCATACGCAAGTCCAGTGCCTTAACTACCATGCCAACTCCTGGCCCTCTCCTTGGTTTCAAATTTTCTTTCTTGTTTTTAAAATTGCCAGACTGTGCATGCACTCACCAAAAGGAGACAGAGAAATAGAACACCCTCCAATGGGGTATGGTCATCCTGCGATCCCCTTTTCCCATTTTCCCCACTCTGTGGGGATTTGGGGTATGCACACCCACTTACCTTGTGTGTTTTTCTAGTTTCTAGGGCTGAGATTCAAACCATGGTTGACCATGTGGGATCTGACTCCCTTGGCCACTAGGCTACCAGACCACCTCTCACTTAGGGCTTTCAGGGTGTTTGGTTTTGGACTCTCCAAACTAGAGTCTCTTTAAATGCTTCGTATTTAACATGCATATTTCGATTCTACTTTTCTCCTGCTCCCTTCCCTCAAGTAAGTAGCCAGTGAAGTTTAAATATTATATGCCTGCTAGATGCCAGCACTGTCCTGAGCACTGTCATATTTGAGGTGTCTTGAAAGTACATGGAAAATGCGTATTATGAAAAAAACTATGCATGATGTCAAAAATTTTTTTACACCAAAATAAACTCATACTTTAATTCTATCTCCACAAATGTTTTGAAGTCCCCTCCTATGTTCTCTCATTAGCAGCTCAAAACATATCTGCGAGGCAGATAGCATAATTTTGCTGTGTAGGCGAGTTAACAGAAATTCATTGGTTAAGTTGTGTAACCTTGTGCCGCTAGTGTGAGTATGGCTTAGGAAACGCCAGATAAGGGAATAGGAAAAACACGTGGTGGGGTGGTTGCTGTAGAGAAGAGTTCAAATTTGTTCCAATGGAGAAATTAAGTTTTAAAAAGGGCTTGGAACAAGATTGGGAATTAGTTTTAGTTTGGATTTTAATGAGGTAGCTTGATCAATATAGAGCTTTTAGAAAATGAGTATGGAGGAAGTCAGAAAGGTGTCCTGGAGGGCACAGAGATGAAGCCAAGGAAGAAGGAGGAGGTGGGGGGGGAGTGCTGGTGTGAGCTGAGAAGGATCTGAACGAAGGTAGAGTCAGGGGTGTGAAAAGCAAGAAGCAAATACTCGAGGTTGTGAAGTACCTCCTGCAACCTGCTTCTCTCCTGGTCTAGGGCCCTGTAATTATCAGAGCACGTGATGTCCGGATGCTTCTTGCAGTTCACTGCTGGAGCTGGTGCAGGGGAGCCTTTGCACTACTGCTACCTTTAACTTCCTTGGAGAGAGAAGTGGTTTTTTTCTCTCTTTTTAAAAAAGAATTATTTATTTAATTTTATTTATTATCACCATCATTATTATTATTTTTTAATTTGACCAGAGACAGAGAAAGTGAGAAAGCCACCAGGTCTGGGATGCAAATTGTGTTCGGCCCTGTGGGAGTCTGGTGCCACCTGCTGGCCCCAGAGAGAAGTGTTGAAGCATTGATAACCACAAAAGCCTCAGATAATTCTTAACTCATTATAAATTGTCTCAATATCTGATGAACAATCTTTTCAAGTGGGAAGGCCACTGTATAATTCAAACAGATGCTGGACAGGGTTATTCCCAGACATTTGGACGGGATACTTGCCTTGATTTTTGCCTTCATGTCTTTGATGAGTTTTTTCCTTTCAAATTTCTTCTTTTGTTTTACTTTCCACTTTTCAATTTGGGAAGGAAGGAGACGATCAGAAATATCCTGGTCATCAACTTGTATAAGAACAGCAGCGTCTGGGAAAAATCCATGCTCACCCAGAAACTGGGCCTCTTCAGGAAATCGTGGGAAACCATCAAGTATAAAACCTGTGGAACTAGGTAGAAAAGGTCACAATTTATTTGTTTAAAATATTATATTATGGATTTTAGCAGTGTAAAAGTATATTGATAAATCTCAATTTTACATAAATTGTATAATGAATTACTGAAGTATCTTTTATTTTAACCTTTATAATTATACACATGGGATTTCTTCTTCCCAAAATTTTAAATAGAGTACAATTACATTTATAATACAGCATTGTAGTCCATGAGCTTACAAATAATATTAATTAGAAGCTTACTAAAAACTGTGAGAAGATCATGAGAAAAGAAAATAAGTTTTCTTCTTGAGGGATGCCCAGCATAGTGAATGCATCACCTTATATAAAGATTATACTTGCGGGGAACCAGCAGTTAGCTTAACGGCTCTGTCACTGAACTCCCATGTAGTTGACCGTGGTTTGAGTCCCGGACCTGGTGGCTTAAACTCACGCTGGACATGTGTGAGTGTGTGCCCAGGATACTGAGAAGGGAATGGAGGAGAAGGGATTGTGGCGTGGCCATCCTCTCTTGGGGGGGGGGTGATTTCTCGCCTTCTGTCTCTCTGTCTCTCTCTGACTTTCTGGCGAGCATATGTGCTCTATAGCAAAAAGCTCTCTCAAAAAAAGAAAAAAAAGAAAGAAAAAAAGATTATACCTGCAGGACCAGCAGTGGCCTGATGGCTAAGCCACTGGAATTTCACATGGCTGACCACGGTTCTAGTCCCAGACCTGGCACCTTGCTTTATTACTTCTCTCTCTAGTGAATTAAAATAATAATAATAATAATTAAAATTAAGTAATTATTTTTTTAAAGTTACACATGGCTGGCCTACCTTTAGTGGGAGCACTCACCTTTAGTTACCAATGAGCGTTATTAATGTATGTACCCTGGTTCCCATGTAAGATGATTATACTGAAATAGGATCATCAAACTTGCCCAAATACAATGGAACTTTACGGATTATGAGTACGACTGGAATGTTAACACAATTTTTAAAAGGACTAGTCACAAAACATTCAGATTTGGGGCCAGTAGGTGGTGAGGTGGTTAAGATGCTAACTGCGGTTCAAGTCCTGGACCCGGGAGCTAGAAAATTACACCAGGCACATGTGTGTACCCCAAATCCTGTGAGGTGACTAGAGGAGAAGGGATTGTGGTGCGGCTATCCCCCTGGGGAATGATTTCTCACTTTCTCTCTCTCTTTCTCTTCTCTCTCACTTTCCCTCTCTCTGGTGAGAGCATTTGCCCTATGGCCAGGAAAAAAAAATCTTAAAACAAAATTCGGATTTTGAAAACTTGGCTTACTTATGTTGAGAGAGTCAGTTTTGGTTTCTCTTTGAGTCAGAGTTTATTTACTCCATTTATGTGAAATTTGGCTTTAACTTTTTTTCTCCCACGAGTGAGAGATGGAGAGACACACACAGAGACATGCACATTGAGTGAGAGAGACATTGAGAGAGAGAGGGAAAGTGAGAAAGGATCCTCCATGGGGAATGGTCACAGTGCAATCCCTTGTTCTTTTCTCCCTTTTACCATGTAAAACATGTACACCCCGGGTGTTCTCAAGCTCATGTACACCCCGGGTGTTCTCAAGCTGCTGGGCCGAGATTTGAATGGTGCAGTTAGTCATATGAGATCCAGTCACCTTAACCACCACGATAGCTGGCCTCCAGCTGTCACTTCTTTATCAGTGACTTCCAAATCTTTATTTTTAGAGTTGATTTATTTCCTCCATTAGTGAGAAAGACAAAGATAGCACCCGCAACAGAATCTTAATGCCACGATCTACCCACAGCTTTAACCAGCCTAAGATTATGGCAGACACGTGCCCAATGTACTCAGGAAGGTCTAGGGACGTGGTTTCAGGACATGAACCCAGAACTTCCCATGTGGGTTAGCCTCGTAGGTGTGCATTTTACCACTGCACCATCTCCCCTGACTTCTAAATCTTTACCTCTATCTTAACTCTCTTCTGAGTTTTGATTCAGAATTTTCAAAAAGCTGCTTAGTTTTTTTCATCTGAATGTCCTTCGGGAATTTTATACACCTTACATTGTTAAAAAAAATACAGATCCATTGTTACCCTTCCAAACTGCTTTTCCTTCTCACTGACCATGCTCAGGTGCCACACTTGAGACCTCTGGTCCTCTCCCCCAACTCCCGCTTGTCACATGCAGCAGCTGAGTCCTGGTGTGCCCTCCTCTGTACTCCCATTTCCAATTCAGCCATTACCCCAGTTCTTATATTTCTCCAGGACTAATGTAATAGCCTTCTAAAAATGTGTAGATCCCCCCAGCCCCAATTTTAAAAGCAACAAATCTCACTATAGTATAATTAGAAATAGAGAAAAGCATGAAAAAAGGTCAAAATGATCCATAATACCATATACCAGAGGTTATGCTCCTCCTCCTTCAGCCACCAAGGTGCTGGGACTCCTGGCATGTGCCACCACATTTGTCCTTCAAGTTAGACCAGGAATTGAACCCGGGCCTCGCAGGCTGTGGTCCCAGCTGTGCAGCACAGTGTCTATAGCAGCACCTTAGCACCTGGCAGAGGCATACTGAAAAACTCTATGGACGTTTTTAATGTGTAGCACAAGTGAGAATCACTAATTCATATGAATACAAAGGAGAAAGTCCTTACATTTATATTTAATTACATTTTTTAACTTTTAAGAATAAAAGTCAATAAATGTATAGCCTGGTATAAATTAAGATACCGTATTGGTTCCTTAAGCCACCACTCCGAAAGAATTGTCTCAAGAATTTCAGAGGGTAATGGCTCATTTTCCATTAGGCTTGATTTGATTGCTTCTTCTTCTTCTGTAAGTTGCACTTCTGGTAGCTAAAAATGAAAACCAGAAAATAAAACAAATTTAAAAGCTCTATATTTGACTTGCCTGTGTTATGGTAGTTAAGGCAGCCAAATCTTCAAATTATACAGTTCAAGTCCCAACTTGGAGGCTTGAAAAACACACCAGGCATGTGTGTGTATATGCCCAAAATCCTGTACTTAAAATCTAGACCTGTTGAATTAAGAAATCTTTATCAAGTTAGCAGAATACGAGTTCCTCCCTGAGCCTGCTAAATATAGGTGGAAAACATGAAAAGAACATGTCTGAGGTGGTGCCACATTACCTGTTACGATACCACATGTCCATCCACCCCTACTCCAAGCATTCCACATACTTGTACCTGGGTCCATTTATAGCGACCACTTGAGAACAAAATGGTGTAGCTATATTTGAATAGTATAAAAGTCACTTAGAATAACCTGGGATAGAAATAATTTTAGAGACATAAACTTTCTGATAAGGCACCATTAGCAATCAGTATTTTAAGACCTCTTTTGTCATGTGCATAGATTTTTATATTTGATAAAAACGAAACAAAACAAAACAAAACCAGAGAACATGATAATGGGAAACCTTATCATCTAGTTTAGTCTCCCTGAGTTGCTGGGATTACAGGGTCTTTGCCACTGTGTCTGGCCTTCAGGTTTGACCGGGAATTGAACACAGGCCTCCCATGTGGTCCTGACCTACACAACAAAGTGTTTTAGCAGCCCACGCCAGTGTAGTTGCTTCTCTGGTTTTTTTTTTTTTTTTATTAGAATCATGTACAAGTCAGTATATTATATACTAGATGAGCATTTAGATGTGTATTTAGGCCCCAGCCCAGCAGTGCAGGTAGTGGGGCACTGGTGTCAAATAGGAAGCTTGAGTTTTGGGTCAATCTGAACACACTGGGGAAAGGATCACAGCATGGCAAGACCCTGTCAAGGATGCCTCTTTTCTTTCTCGCATGGAAGAAAGAACTAAATAAACTAAAGAAAGAAACAAACCTGTTTAATGCCTGGGGAGGGTGATTCTTTAAATGACTTGTATGGGCTAAATTTTTATTTATTCATATATTTAGGGTTTTAGGTTTTTGCTATAGGGTACACGTGTTTGCTGGAGAGAAACAGAGAGAGACAGTGAGAAGGAAAGTGAGAAATCACCTCCCCACAGGGGATGGCCACATCGCAAACGCTTCTCCATTCTCCTTCTGGGATTTTGGGCACATATGCACATGTGCCTGGTGTGATTTTCAAGCCACCGGGCCCAGACTCTGACCAGAGTCAGCCATGAGGGAGAGTTCGGTGCCTTAACCACGATGCCACCTGCTGACCCAATGCTAAATGTTTTTCTCTTCCTAAAAACTTCATGGTTTTGTGCTACTTCTATTGCTCTTTCCTAAAGTGACATTAGTAAGGAGAACTATCTGCAAAGAGATTAGTATTGCTACCTGTTTTTTGGTGTTTTCTTCTTCAATTTTAACATTGGCTTGAATTGCAAGCTCTTCAAGTTCTTGTTTTGCAATTTGTTCTTCCTCTGAATCTTCCTCCAATTCAGGTCCAACTCTCTTTTCAATTTTGAGCAGTAATTTTTCTTGAAGAACTTCTTCAAACTGAATGTGAAAAATGCCCAATTTTTCTGCCAAATGTCTTGCACACACGGTTTTGCCAGCGCCATGCGGGCCCATAAGGCATATTCTTAAAGGAGGAGCCTGCCACAGGGGATGGGCCGAGGGAGGTGGGCCAGAGAGAGAGTGAAGAAAAGAGGCTGTGAGTAATTTAGAAAACATAAAGCTTATCAACTGCCCTCCCTAAGACTGAGTAGGATTTATCACTCTAAAAACTCGAGTGTTTAGACATTAGGATGGCAATTAACAACGATCAACAACGATTCTCAAGGAGCATCAACACCATAAGATCATCTTGGTATCAGGTCCTATGCGCATTTCATAAATTAAATTTAATTAGTTTTGCTTGTAAAAACATCTGTTAGTGAACTACAAATGGAAAGACACTGCCTCAGTGTGCTAAAAACACCTTTCTCCCAAACAAAAACTCCATTAATAATGAAACTCTGGAGGCTGCTTCCTTAATTCCGGTACTCTCCGTACTGGAGCTGAGGAAGCCCAGAGCCAGAGAACCGCAGTTGTAGGAGGCACCCGCTGAATGCTGAAACTGCAAGGACAGAGGTGAGAGCTGGGATGATGGAGCAGCTAAGTCTTCCGTGAATGTGGGCAATGCTGTGAACTTGGGAGGAGACAGCAACAAGGAGTTGGCAGAGGGTGATATATCTGGGGAGTTTATGCCTCAAAGGGCTGGGGTTTCGGCAAGGGAAGAAGTCATGGATCTTCAGCAACAGACGGGAACAGGGAGCATAGCTCATCACTCTCTGTGCTTGCTAAGGGAATATGCAGAGAAAAGGTTTGAAGATGCAGGGAAAAAATATACCAAAGAAATACAGAGGAGAAAGGAGGCCGGCAACTCAAGGAGTAGGAGTTTTTATTTATTTATTTTTTAAGAGGTTTAAGAGTGGAGACCTGGGGGCCGCCAGTGGTGTGGTACTTAAGGCGTATCTCATGGGACCAACTATACAGTTCAAGTCCCAGACCAGCAGCTTGAAAAGCATGCTGGGCATGTTTGTGTGCACACCCAAAATTCTGAAAGGAGAAATGGAGGAGAAGGGATGGCGTCATGACCATTCTCCATGGGGGGGGTGCTTTCTCTCTCCCCCCCCGATTTGTTTCCGTGTGTGCACATGCTTTCTGGCAACAATTTAAAAAAAGGGGGGGGGGATCTAGACAGAGGTGCAAAGGTAAAAAGTGATGTTCTGCTAGGCCCTGTTCAAGTCCAGGGTAACTCGCCGACTGTACCAGGCACATGCAGTGGGATCCTGTTGGAGTTCTGTTTGTCTGTCTGTCCCTCTGATGTTCATTAAAAATAAATAAACTTTAAAAAAGAGGTATAGCAAGTCCATAAAAGACAAAGAGGAATTTGAAAAACAGAACTATCAGAGACAAGTAAGCGCTCAGAGATTAAAAATATGATGCTTTCCCCTTTCTCCGAGAGTAATAAGTTCGAGAGCACTGAGAAATCCCAGGCTTCCTTAGTGTGAAAACTCGCGGTGTCAGAGAAAACGTGTGCTGCGTATCCTGAGCACGGCAAATAAACCAGCCTGGACCATTTCAAGAACATTAAGAATGAAGAGAAGACCTTAGGAGCTTCCAGATATAAAATGAGAGAGAGAAGGAGAGAGCGACACTACCTACTAGAGAATGAGAATCAGCCTAGCAACCAGGATGCTAGCCACACGATAAAGTGATATCTTTAACACTGTGAGAGGAAAATGATTTTCAACCTAGAAATCTATGCCCATACAAACTATCAAATGCATAAGGGAAACAAATAATGAGATTTCAAATATTAAGAAAGTTAGTTGGGGACCAGCAGATGGCACGATGGTTAAGTCGCTGGACTCTCATAAAGCTGACAGTGGTTCGAGTGCTGAACCTGGTGGCTTGAAACCCAGGCCAGGCGCGTGTGTGTGCGTGCCCAAGATCCTGGGAGGAGAATGGAGGAGAAGGGATTGCGGTGTGGCCCTCTCCCTGGGGGTGATTTCACGCTTTCTGTCTTGTTTCTCTCCCTCTGTTGAGCACACGCACCCTATAGCAAAAAATCTCTCTAAAAATAAAGTTGAATATGCATTTCAGCAAAATAAGGACTTAAAATAAAACCCATGAAAACAAGGAGAAAACAGGATGTAAAAAACTATTGATTTTGCTACACAGCATTTATTCCACTCTTTCTATTAATGCGTCTGGATTCCCCTTTGGGAAGCCATTCCTCATCACTCTTCAGTTTACATGATTCCATCAGTATTTCAAAATTGGTAGTCAACTGATGCAGCACTTGAGAGAAAAAAGTAAAGACAGAAAGGTGAGTAACAAAACTAGAATGATATGAAACTAGGTGGCTACAGCCCATGGCAAATACTTCTGGAATGCCTTTTAAATCCCTCACTGATAAAATCGCTGGAGGAGCATCTCCAGGTTGAACCTCTGGCAACTAGAGCTGCCTGGCACTTGGAGAGCATAAACTGAACTGTATGTTCAGTTTAAGAAGGCATGCTATCAAAAGTAATAAGACAATATATTATGATGTATACATCTCGATCCTGTAATCCCAGTCCAAGAAATTATAGTAATAAAATAATTCAAGAAAATCAAAGAATGACATACATAAAAAATACATCAGTTCCATATTCACAATGGCAGAATCATGCTATAAAAAATTGTGGAAAAAAGGTCTAATAATGAATTAGAAGTTAAAATGGTATGTCAGGCTAGCCCCATAGTGTAGTGGTTAAATGTGGTGTATCAGGAGCTGGGTCATTAATTAATCAAGAACAACTCACTTCACGTAACACATTTTTGTAATCCAGCCAATCAGTATCATCTTTTGCTCCTCAAAATCAACCAGTCAGGGTTGATGGATTTTCCCCTCTATCATACTTGTGAGTGTGACTCAGTTCTGACTGAGCCAGTGCAATGTCACCTGCTCATCACACTCCTATAGACGGGGTCAACCCACTTAAGCTTCTGGAAGTCCACCAAACTGAATTCCACGCTTTCCTCCCAAATCATCTCTAAGATCATCATCCTGGGGACCAGCAGGTGGCATAGTGGTTACATCGTTGGACTCCCATATGGCCGACCATGATTCAAGTCCTGGACTGGACAGCTTGAAACTCATGCCAGGTGCATGTGCCTGCATGCCCCAGATCCTGAGAGGAGAATGAAGAAGGGATTGTGGTGTGACCATCCTCTCTAGGGGAAAGTTTCTGTCTCTGTCTTTCTTTGGCTCTTTGATGAGCACATGTACCCTATAGAAAAAAACCTCTCTTAAAAGAAAATCATCAGCCTGTTCTGCTTACAGAAACCAACCAGAATAGCTCGGCCTTAATATATTAAGCAGTAAGTTCAGCTGTGCCTTTTTACTTCAGCTAAAAAGACAGATTTTTTTTTTTTTTTGAGAAATTTTTGCTACAGGGCACGTGCACTAACTGGAGAGACAGACAGACAGAGAAAACAAGAAATCATCTCCCAATGAGGATGTCCACACCACAACCCCTTCTCCTCCATTCTCCTCTTGGGATTTTAGACCCACAAGCACACAAACCCAGTGTGTTTCAAACCACTGGGTCTGGGACTTGAACTGCAGTCAACCATGTGGAAGTCAGTGTCTTAACCACCACTCCATTTGCTGGCCCCAAAAAGACATATATTAAGTGCTGGTTTGACACAAGTCATTTCTGTAGAAATCAAAACAGATTGTTTTTAAATGTTATATTCCAAAAAGTTGTTCTTCGAACTTATTTTCACTGTATTGTTATACCAGATTGGAGACTTGAGTATTAAGCAAAATGATGGCAGCTTTTGTAAGTCCTTAAAAGTCTTCAGGATCGATTACTAGGATAGGAATGGCATGCTCACCTTTAGAGGTTCTTCATGAGCCACGTAATCCTCAGGGTGCTCCAAGAACTTTTCTTTAGCCTCCGTACTTGAAAAGTAGTAGATCTTTTCTCGATATTTAGCTGCTTCTTCTATGTTGCCTGGTTGCAGAATAAAGTTTTCTTTAAGAACCACTGGGCAGAAGTGTTTCGTATCTCCCAGATGCCTCCTTTTCTCTTTAATTTTTTCTTCATTCTAGAAATGTTATTCAGTTTGGACGACATTATTAAAAAATACTTTCATGTAATACTAAAGAGGAAATAATCTATTTTGGATAATATTTAATGTTTGACAAAACATTAAAACAATCCATAAAAGGCCAATCCATATACTATTTTAATTAATTTAAAATATTATTATTATTTTTGGGGAGAGGTTTTTGCTATAGGGCGCATGCGCTTGCCAGACAGACAGAGACAGAGGGACAGAAAGCAAGAAATAACCCTCCAGGGGGGATGGCCATGCCACAATCCCTTCTCCTCCATTCTCCTCTCAGGACCTTGGGCACGCACGCACACGTGCCTGGTGTGAGTTTTAAGCCACCAGGTCCGGGACTCGAACCGTGATCAACTACATGGGAGTCCAGTGACATAGCCATTATGCTAACTGCTGGTCCCAAAGTATTAGTTTTTCAAGGCCAGCCCTGCTGCGCAGTGCTTAAACCTCATGCATGGAGAGCTGGATCCTACATGGTTGGCCATGGTTCAAGTCTTGGCCCTGGTGACTTGAGAAACATGCTGGGTGCATATGTGTAGATGCTTAAAATTCTGATAGGATGGAGAAATGAAAGAGAAAGGATTGTGGTGTGACCCTGCCACATGTGTGTAGGGGGTGCTTCCTTTCTTTCTCTGCCGAACACATGCACCCTCTAATAAAATTGTTTATTTTAAATATCCCTCTAAGTTTATATCTTATGCTCCCTTACTTTCATGAAAAAAAAAATAGGGGTTTCCAGCCCTCTACAAATGTAAGTGTAATGATAAACTGCAGCACAGACTGTACACCATCGCTGTGAAGTCAGTTTTTAAAATGAAATTATTTCCAAATAAAAGCTGATTCGGGGTCACAATGTCCTATCCATTGCAAATTAAATGGGAGATGCCTCAGACTTTCCTACCAATTCTTTTACTATTAAATGCAATGTTAGCTGATAGTTACATATTTTCTGTAGATACACACTGTATCACACTGAGGACATTCCCCCCTTTTTTTGTTTTTGTTTTTTAACCAATAATAGATGGTAGGTTTTTTCAAGCAGTTTATTTGCATCTATTGATATGATCTTGGGGGGTCTTTTTTTTTTTCAGCTTGTTAACATGAGGGATTATGTGGATTGCTTTTCAAATATTAAACAAACCTTTAATTTCTCGGTCATAATATGCTATGTAGTTTTTAATTAGATTTACTACAGGTTTGTTAAGAAAACTGTACCTCTATGCTCATGTTAATGATAGCTAGTCTGTAGTTTGTTTTTCTTTTCTTTCTCTTAATGTCTTTAGTTTTGGTATCAGAATAAAGCTGACCTCATAGAAGGAGTTGAGAAGTATCTGTTGTTCTTCAATTTTCTGGAGTAGTGTGTGTGTAAAATTAGCGTTATTTCTTCCTTAAATGTTTGGCAGCATTTACCAGGGAAGCCACCTGTGTCTGGATTCTTTCAGCTTTTGCATGTCAGAAAGAGTCTTTAATTTCCTTTTGTTTTTGAAAGACAGTTCTGCTGAGCATAGAATTCTAGGGTGACAGATGTTTCTCCCTTCAGTGCTTTTTTTTTTTTCTTTAGCTTTTGCCATAGGGTGCATGTGCTTGCCAGAGAGAGACAGAGAGAGGGAAAGTGAGAAAACATGCCCTACCAATATTCTTGAACTTTTCTCTAGGACACAGTTAAGTTCCTTTTGCTCCTTTGAGCGCTTGCTTTTATGCTGGGTGTGGCCAAAGCAGTATTTACTCTAGGTCTAAGTACTCTCCATTCCTGAGGCTAGACCCTTACTTGTATCCTACCAGTGCCCTATGAATGATAAGGCTTTTCACTACATCATAAATGAAGACCATGCTTAAAAACTTAAGTTTTCAATATTACAGGGCCAGCTGGTGGCGTGGTGGTTAAAGTAGCTGGATTCTATAGGGCTGTTTAATTGGTTTGAGACCTAGACCTAGCTTAAGAAACATGCCAGGCGCAGCAAATTTGAGAAGAGAATGGAGAAGGGATTGTGACATGGCCATCCTTCTTGGGGTGATGGGTGCCATCTCTCTCTCTCTCCAGTGAGTGCACTCACCCTATAGTAAAACTAACTAACTAACAAAATTAATGAGTAAAATAGAGCTTCCCTTCATCATTCTCTTATTAAATAAAAAAGTTTTCAATATTATAAAAAGTTTGAGAACTGTCTGCAGATACAAGAAAGAGACCATTTGAATACAGGCCAGAGTGGGACACAGAAGAGAAACAGCAGACATGGCAGAATAAGGACGATGAAAGAAGAGAATCTGGATAGGAGTAGACAAATGCACATCCTTTAGTCACTCTGACTAAAAGTCTCACCCGCTCCTTAGTGATAAATACTCAAAGCTGTTGTCAGAACCACACTGCATACCATTTGTGTTTGATGTGTCTGTATTTGGGTTTCAATTAGGCAACAATAAGTTAATTACATGTGTATTTAACTGAATCAATGATTTTTCATTGATAAAGTCCCCAAAGAACAAAACAACGTCTTCTTTTGTTATCGACAGATGCCTGAACCGGGTGTGTCTCAAATGAGTATGGTTATCAAAATTCTGGTGCCAAGAGAATGGATGACGTGCAACGCTCTTGTTTGCGAACACTGCGCATCTTCGTCATGCTAGCAGCCTGTCAAAGCCTCCATGCTGTTTTACATAAAATATCCTCTTCCGTTAAATTTATGAAATATGTATGTCTTTTTTTTTTTTTTTTGGGAGGGATTTTTGTTATGGGGCAGGTGTGCTCGCTAGAAAGACAGAGAGACAGAGAGACAGAAAGTGAGAAATCACCCCCCAGGGGGATGGCCATGCCGTAATCCCTTCTCCTCCATTCTCCTCTCGGGATCTTGGACACGCACGCACACGCCCGGAGTGAGTTTAAGCCACCGGGTCCAGGACTTAGGGGGTTGGCCATGCCGTAATCCCTTCTCCTCCATTCTCCTCTCGGGATCTTGGACACGCACGCACACGCCCGGAGTGAGTTTAAGCCACCGGGTCCAGGACTTGAACCACAGGAAACTACGGGCAACTACATGGGAGTTCAGAGACATAGCCATTACGCCAACTGCTGGCCCTGAAATATGTATGTCTTTAATATCTATCTATGTTTTTCCCATAAAGAACTATTTATAAGATTTTCCTTTTATTTTTTTTCATGGACCTCTTTTTTCCATACTGTATAAGTAGTCCTGGCATGTCAAAGGGTCAAGTGCAGTAGGGTAGGGGGGAAATGTGGGACAATGTTTATCAAATCGAGGATGCCTGTGTGTTTACGTGGGGTCTAAAAGTGACAGTTACCACTCTGGATATGTACATTTCCAGATGACTTGCCCAATAAGAATGAGTACTAAGAGGGACCAGCAGTTAGCATAATAGCTATGTTGTTGGACTCCCAGATAGTCAACTGCAGTTCGAGTCCCAGACCTGGTGGTTTAAACTCACGCTGGGTGTGTGTGTGTGCATGCCCAAGATCCCAAGAGGAGAATGGAGAAGAAGGGGTTGTGGTGTGGCCATTCCCCCTGGAGGGTGATTTCTTGTTTTCTGTCTCTCTCTTTCTGTCTTTCTGGTGGGAGATTGTGCCCTATAGCAAAAACCTCTCAAAAAAAAAAAAAAACGAGTACTAAGAAAAGAATCATGCCTCTTCCTCTTCCTCTTCCTCTTCTTCTATTTCCTCATCAGCTTCTAATTCAGCTTGATAGTCTTCTGTTTCTTCATCATAATCTTCAATACTGAATTCCCACGCAGTATATTGAAAAGGTTCTGTAAAAAAAAGAAAAAGAGAAGAATCACTGAGAATCACTGAGGAAAGTATTTTTAGAATAAAGGGTTATTAGCTGGGCCAGCATGAGGGGTGGTAGTTAAGGCATCGGATTCCAACACAAGCAACCAGGAGACCCTGCGGCTTGAAAATACACCAGGCATGAGTGTGCCTGTACCCAAAATGCCAAGAGGAGAATGAAGGAGGAGGAACTGTGGTGTAGTTGTGTCCCTGAGCGGGTGATTTCTCACTTTCCTTCTCTCTATCTCTGTCTGGTGAGTGCATGTGCCCTATGGCAAAGACCTAAACAGATAAATAAAAGTTATTAGCATACTAAAGCAGTCAAAGGTTAGGAAAATGATTATTATTATTGATCTTTTAATTTAAATACCCAAAAAGGTCTTTACAAATTCTTTTTAATTGCTACAGGATGTGTGCACTTGCCAGAAAGAGAGAGGGGTAGGAGAAAGAGAGAGAGAGAGAATTCATCCATGAGGGAGTGCAATTTCTTCTCCATTTTATCTATCGGTTGAGATTTTGGGCACTTGCACGCACATGCACCTGGTGTGTTTTTCAAGTCACCAGGGCCAAGTTGGAACCACAGTCAGGTCTCTGGGATCCCACTCCCTTAACCACTAGGTTACTGGGCGACACCCCTTTACAAATTCTTCATGAGACCACTCCCGGTGTGATCACGGTTGTTTGGGGCACAAGCCTGCTCCTATTGACCAGTGCCTCTGCTATGAGAGTCGTTAAATACTTCATACATTCTCCCTGGATACCTTGACTGTTGTACTTCGTAAACCATCAAGAAAGGATTTAAGGTTTAAAAATGCCTTCAATATGGTACCCTCTTGATAATAAATGTTACAAATACTGCCCTTACTTTCCATAGTGTCGACTACTTTTTGAAGTAGTTCCTTTGGAGTTTTGTTGGCAATCTCCAGGTTTAAAATTTGAAGGAAAGAATCACTCATGATTATTTCCAGCTGTTTCCACATGATGTTGAAGTAATTAATCTTCTCTTTAAGTGGGTCCATTTCAGGAACATCAGGATAAGCGTCTTCTGCAAACTCAGGCAATACAACTTTTGAGTGAAAGGTTAAAAGAAAGAAAAACAGAATTTAAATATCCTCTCTTTAGCCATACTGCCAAAATAATGTATACTTGGTAATATTTTAAAATTTTATCTATTTTATAGCTTTTGTTAATTATCTTTGTGGAGTACAACATGGTTTTTCAAATCATACATGCAGTGTGTGACAATCAAATCAAAGCTATTACCATAGTCATCATCTTCAATAAAGAACATTACATCATGTTAGGTACTGTGGAAATTTGTTCTACTAATTTTTTGTTTTGTTTATGTATACATATTTGTGTATACACACACACACACACACAATCACGTATGTGTGTAATTGGCAATGCCCTGTTTATTTTACTCTGGAGGTGTACTGCTCCATGCAGATTCGCCTTGTTGATATGCTTCATTGTGTTTGTTCATCATTTTTTCCCTGAACCCTTGGTCCTGACCTCACCATCCCCTGCAGTCTCTGGTATCTATGGTCACCCTCTCTACTTCTGTGTTATTCTTTGTAATGGTTTTTAAACACTTGAAAGAAATAAATTTAATATTTTAAGCAACAATATACATGTATAAATTCACACTTTAATTATGATTTGTTCCTTGTGTTGGCTGTAAATGAATGATCACCTGTTGATATAACCCAAATTATGTGGATAGTTAACCTGGGTTTCACACAAAAACTTTAACTGATAATATAACGTATAAAAATGAAAATGAACAAAAATCAGTGCTGGGACCAGCAGGACGCCTGGTGGTTAAGGTGTTGGACTTTCACATGGCCAGATGTGGTTTGAGTCCTGGACCTAGCAGCTTCCTTTCTCGCTTTCCTTCTCTCTAGCTCTCTGTATCTCTCTGATAAAGCTTAAAATAAAATAAAATAAAGAAATAAAGTAATTCTAAAAAAAATCAGTGTCATAAGCTGGTTAGATACACTTTTAATGGAATACTCAAAATAAATATAATGTACATCAATTGGCAGAGAATATAGAAAGAAATAAGTAGGAAGTAGGTGATATCCCTGAAATAAATGACTAGATCCTTGGTAAGAAAACATGAAAAATACTTTTATGCACTAATTACTTTTATTTTATAGTCTACCTGTTTCATATAATTCTTCGGTTTCCAGGCCCTCTTTGGGTTCTTTTGGATTTTCTGTTTCAACTGAGGTATCGTCAGTAGGCTCAGGTGCTTAAGAGAGAAACTTAATGGTTAGAGTTTGAATTTCAAAATGTTATTCATATATGAAAGTTCAGGTACAAAGAAGGCTTTTAAGACATAATTTGAGGTGTTTATAATAGGTCTAATTAAAATAGAGCTCTTGTTGGGTAAAATATAGCATAAAAATATGTGATCGTATAAGGCAGAAAAATGAAGAACATTCTTAAATATAATAAAAGGGTATTGGTTAAAATAACTATCAACATACAAATGTGTAATTGTGGCTGACAGCTTGCTAAACATTACTTAAACTGGTTAATATAGAATCAGACTAGCAGTGCCCGATGTTTCTTTTAATTTCTCCTTAAAATATCTAGTAAGATACATCAAAAGATTACAAAGTGTCAAGGAGAGATGGTAATATTGCCAAGGCCTACCTGTGGCTATCAGATGGAGGAGCTGAGGAGAATCTCAACTCAGTTCACTGTGGAGAATATAGAAGTAGAAGGGGACGAGCCTAGGGCTGACTTGGTGGTGGCATGTTAATTCGTAAGTTGCTCAATTAAGAAAAGTATTATAGGGGCCAGTGGATGTCACTGGACTCCCACATGGCTGACCGCAGTCTGAGTCCAGACACGGCGGCTTGAAACTCAAGCCAGGTGTGTATGTGTGCATGGCCAGGATCCCAGGAGCAGAATGGTGGAGAAGAGACTGCAGTGTGGCCATCCCCCCTGGGGGATAATTTCTCACTTTTCCCCTTTTCCCTCCCACTGTCTCCCCCCCCCCCACACCCCACCAGCACACGAGCCCTCAGGCAAAAACCTCTGAAGAAGAAAAAAAAAAAAAAGAAAGAAAAAGAAACCATTATAAAGCATGACAAAAGAACACCAAGAATATATAGATTATTTTGAATTGCTCTAGCTTCTCTAGCTTAATCAGAAACTGCAGTAGGGATAAAAAAAATCTAACCCCAGTCTAGAAAAGCTATAGAAAATGAGTATTTGCTATTATGACTTGAACTAGGCTGATGCACATTATCCTTTATCAGATACACTGTATCCGAAAAGTACCAGGCAAGAAGTTTAAATGAAAGGGGTTTGTGTGTTGGAGGGGGTGATTTCTTATAAATACCCTACCTATCCCTCCTATCAGTAAATGCCAATACCAAGGTTTCATTCCAGGATAAGTTAACAATAACAACAATGAAAAGATGTTATAAGAAGGGAAAG